GATAAGCATATAATAATTCCAGTTTTTCTTTTATGAATTTTCATTAATGTCTGAAATTATAAAGCATCACTTTTCCTTATATTAAATTAGGAATTGGCTGTCCCATTAAAAAAAAGGGGGGTTGGATTTTTTTCCTGTCTTTGGTGTTAAATAGAGACCAGGCTTAAAGATTAGCATTAAATTAATGTAATAGGGTGTATGTGACAAGCACCAGGGTGTGGAATACGCATAATTAATTGTCAATGAAAAAAAAAAAAAAGACATTATATTTTCTTTATCTGACATGAAAAAAGGGAATTTTCATCCTCACTGAATATCTTAGAGTATGGTGTAAAAAAGACTTCATGAGAAACTTGTATTAAATGAAACTGTAGTAATGATGGTCTCACATCAGACTGTGCTCACGGTTTACAGCAAGGAATGAAAATATTAAAACAAATTTTATTCTCTTACCACTAATGAATAATGATATAATGGAATATGTAAATTTTTACATTTATGGGGAATTAATTAATTTTGAAAAAATATGGATATTGTTGTGGGTCTTGTATCATGTATACTCTAGCTGCAGGTAGGCACCTCAAAAGACAGTTTGTCCTTATTTTCTATAACGTGTATAACGTTTTCCAGATTTCATTTAAATTTTGGTCAGTAATCAAATTCTATTAATAATTTGGTATAAATTTAAGATAAATTGACATTATTTCAGTGACAGTTATAATAATGATGGAATAATTTGTCACAAGTACAGGGTTTGGGTTTTTTTTGACTTTGAGAGCTTCACACCTTGTACTATTAAGAGTCTTATGACTTACATATGGTGGAAACATTTCACCAGAAAAAATGATAGAGTATAAGCAAGGTTTTCTCAGTTTATTATTCACTTACACCACAGCAGATCTATGTCCTTCAGCTTAGGCAAGATAACATGTTTTAATTTTATATTAAGTCATTTAGGGTAGAAGCATGTGGTATTTAGACCTTGGGGTCAAATGCCTTCCTTATTATAGAAGCATGAAAAGAGGAGACAAGACAGTTAATTATTACATTTAATTATTATAATTAATTACAGGCTGATACCAATTGATACCCTATAAATTTATTATCATGAATAATGGTTAGATAAAGCAAAAATTGTTTTACCAATTTCAAAATGTACACTGGAAAAACAAAACTTCTAGATTTTAGACCAATACCTTTGCCAGCTAACATGTGACTTTACCTTCAAGTGGCAATCTGTATGCCTACTAATTCTTTGGTTTTTAAAGATGGTCCTTGGAGAAGATCAATGCAGTATTTTGGTTTCCCTTTGAAATCAGGCACAAGGATTGATTGTGTCATTCCTCAAACAGCAAAGGATTATGCTCACAGAAAGATTTGAAGGGCTACCTGTAGAAAAGAAGAGGGAAAATCAGAGCAAAGAGCTAAAAAATTATGCTCAAAGGTTAAGAGATTGCTGAAATCTGTGAAAACCAAACAGCTGTTTCTTGGAAGTTCCTTCCTAAGCTATGGAATCTCCTTCCTAAGAACTTCCTAGGAGAGGATTGTGGGGGGGTTTGCTGCCATTCAGAATTCAACAGTTTAATGAAATGGAATATGAAAGCATTAGCTTGTTCTAAAGAACATAGTAAGCAGGAGGAATGCTGTTATTTAATAAAATCTTCCTTTATTTCTAAACTGACCTAATAACTTTGAGATATGTAATTTAAAATGTTTAGTTTGGTTCATCTTCTGTTAAAACTGTTTGTTTGAAGAGGAGGATTTAAAGACATTGCCTGGTTTTAAGGAGTTTAGTCCATCAAGAATTTCTGCTAGTCTATTTCAGAGCAGTGAGACACTTGGATTCTGTATAAATTAATCGAATTATCTGCAGTCTGCTATTGAATACCCAGGGATTCAGTACAGAAACTGATGTAGATAAGGCTTTCACAACTTTACTCACTGAATTGTGATGTTCTCTTTTATTCACAGGTGTTTGAAATAATTTTCAATAAGAATTTTCAATGTGCTTGGGCAAATGGAAATTTGTTTACAACAGTGGAGAAATCTGTTTCAAATAAGGTCTGGAATTCAGAAAATTAGTGAGTGAATAAACAAGAAAACTTTCAAAATATTTAATATACAAATGAAAAAATTCAAAATCAAACCTGAAGGAAGTGTAACAGATTAAGAAACAATAAGACACATTTAGTCACTTTTATTGTGGGATTTACAACTGAAGTTAAAACATCTATCATGCTGTAATACATGTCTATTAAAGAGAAAAGTAAGAAAACTACCTGATAACATTATTAGAAAGGGATGACAAGATATCATGAAATCAAATCCCCATAAAAATGAGATACTTAAATTTTCAGTGTAAGATTGTGCACCCTAGTCAGAAACACCTTTTGTGGTTTGTTTTTTTTTATTTATTTAGGAATTTTAAATGAGTCCATCAAAATATAGTAATACACTAGGTTTTTAAAAGCCATATGATTTTATAAGTGTATCATCATGTATGACTACATGTAAAGCATGAGAAGCCTTTTCAGTTAATAGTTTCGAGATTTAACTATTGTGTTTAGAGTGATTATTTCTAAGCTTTTACATTAAGCATTTTTATAATGATGACTTTAATGTTTGGGAAATAATGTGATTAAGATTTAAATCAGAGAATATTTGTTTACTGTTTCACTTCATAAAAACTGCAAGCATGTCTCCTTTCAGATTATTTATTTTTAATGTTGATTTGTATTTTTCTTCTTGTAAAGGAAAAAGATTATTGCAATCATAAAATCTGTGAGTAGAAATTTAAACCTTTCATATGTAAACAAATGAGTTTTGAAACACAGCAGAAATACACTTGTTTGTTTTTTCTTGCAGGACCTATCAGAACAAGAATTTAGGAAGCTATTGTGGTGCCTCCACCCATAAAAAGTGTCCATTAGCTCTCCTTTTTTTTGAGCAACACTAACTCCTTTAGGTGGTCCAAGAACAAAAATATTAAAAAAGAACAATTTAGAAGTTCAGAAAGTGCTTTATGCATCTAGCAGCAGGCAAAATTCCTTCTTTTTTACTTAAAAAAGAACAGAATCACAGAGTATCCTGAGTTGGAAGGGACTCACAAGGATCATCGAATCAAACCTTTAGCCCTGCACAAGACCATCCACAAGAGTCACACCATGTGCCTGAGAGTATCATCCAAACGCTTCTTGAACTCTGGTGCTGTGACCACTTCCCTGGGGAGCCTATTCCAGTACACAATCATCCTCTGGGTGATTGTTCTTTTCCTAATATCCAACTTAAACCTCCCCTGACACAACTACAGGCTTCCCTCAGGTCCTGTCATTGATCATCACAGAGAAGAGATCAGTGCCTGCCCCTACTCTTCCCTTCACAAGGATGTCATAGACTGTGATGAGGTCTCCCCTCAGTCCCCTCTTCTCCAGACTGAACAGACCAAGTCATCTCAGCCGCTCCTCATACGGCTTCCCCTCAAGACCCTTCACCATCTTTGTTGTCCTCCTTTGGACACTCTCCAACAGTTTAATATCTTTCTTATATCATGGTGCTCAAAACTGCATGCAATATTCAAGATGAGGCCGCTCCAGCGCAGAGTAGAGCAGGATAATCACCTCCCTCGACCGGCTGGCGATGCTTTACCTGATGCCCCCCAGTACATGGTTGGCTCTCCTGGCTGCCAGGGCACTGCTGACTCATATTCAACTTGCCTTCAGTCAGGACCCCCAGGTCCCTTTCCACAGCACTGCTTTCCAGCATCTCATCCATTGAAACAGGTGTCTCACTGGGATACATGTTAAAGAATATTCTTTTGATTCTTTAAAGTTCTTTCAAATAGGTTGCTAGTCCTATCACACCTAAGCAGTACATTTTTCTTCTGCAGTTTGTCTTTATACAGCACTTGATAAGTTAGACGTCCTTGTGTTTAATTAACCTTGCCTCAGTCCAAGTCATTCTGGTTTCCTTAAAGCAAGTCCACACTGCAAAATGTTAATATCTTTCAAAATACATGTGTCATTGATTTTGCAGGTTACAAGTTTTAATTTGTAGTCATCTCAGGTTGTTAGAAAACTTGAAGTTAATGAAGAATTTGCACACACATCAGTGGAATAATTGTAGTCCAAGTGGTACTTCTGTTGAGCTTCTAGTAGCCAGGAAGACTGATGTAACAGAAAGAATACAGGGATTATGATATGTCCTTGTCTTTACTTTCTCCTGTCATATAATAGCAGATCATAGGAGCCTAGATCTTTCCTTCAATGGAAGAAATATAACTACAGATACAAGTGCAGAAGCCGTTGTATTATAAATTTTTCAAACCACATATCAGGGATGTTTTACAGGTATTTCTTCATCCCTTCTAGATGTTCACATTCTGAAGGGACTACTGGGTTCTACAATGTGTAGCAGAAAGAAAAGGTTCTTCACTTCAATGGTAATTACACTACAATTAGCAACAGTCTTATGTCTCATATTTTGTGAGCCTGTCCACATTTAGTTGGAAAGAATTGCTCTTTTGAAAATTATCTGTAATGCTTCTGTAGAAGTTCCGAATTAATGTTCTCTAATGCAACCCAAGTAGTACTCATTTTAGGATTAAAAAGTCCAAGCAATGAAGTAAAGTTTTAATGCCACCATATTATCTGTATTTCCAATTTAATATTCTTGTTGGTTTACAGTGGTTCATCTGTTATACTGAGATCTCTGGACAAAAACAGAAAAATAATGATGCACATGGCAATATTTTATCAATATATGGCATTCAGACTATTACTAAAACAGCATATTGGCTTCAGAAAACCTGAAAGCATCATATATATCAAAGAAAGGTAAATTCACCAAATAAGTGCCAGCAAGCAAGAATTTCATGCCTGGGGCACAAGCTAGGTGTTATAGTGTGGAAACTGAGAACTGCCATTAGAGACAAATCTGGAAGACAGAGCAGGTGATTACTGTATTGTAATTATAGACAAATACCTACGATATTTCATCACTTGTTTAGCTTGATTCTGATTTTCTATCATATCCTGGGGCTTTTTTATTTCAGCAGTGGGTCTTCTGATCTGACAGGGCTTTTTATCTTCTGCCAAAAGAAGGTTAGATAATGAAATCACACCCTACATAATTTTATTTCTACAAATGTCAACCTTTTCAGCTCCCACTTTTTTATTCCACTTTGTCTTAGCATCATTATATTTCCACCTTATTTGTCTTATTTTCCTTCTTTTCTAGTGCATCTTACATTACTAATTCTTTCCATTAATCCACACAGAATTTTCAAACTCGTTTCATACTCCTCTCTCTTTTCATCAGAAATGAGTGAATTCAATCCAAGATACCAGGTGTACAGAATAAATAGTAGACTATATTTTTGTAACTTAACTGGTGAAATGTACATTTTTAGGTGGAAATACTACCTGGTATTAATGATTTTTTCAAGTTCCTATTAAAAGACAAAATTTTCTTTCTTTATATTTTGGATATCTTTAAAAAAAAAGAGTAATTTTTAGTGCGGGGAATCAGTCATAAGTTGAACTGTTACCATCTGCACTTTGTCTTTTAAGTTTTGTATTGGGTTTGCATGGCCAGGTTTTGGTAGCCAGGGGACTACAGGAATGGCTTCTGTGACCAGGTGCCAGAAACTTCCCCCATGTCCAGCAGAGCCAATGCCAGCCAGCTCCAGGACAGATCCACTGCTGGCCAAGGCTGAGCCAATCAGTGGCAGTAGTAACACCTCTGTGATAATGTGGCAATGGATATGCCATATGTAGGATGGAAGAAGTCCTGTCAGAGATGGACTAGTGAAGAAAAAGAAGAAAACTGCTCAAATCTTATTAGAAACAGAAGTTTTTAATGTGGTTTAAACAGGTTTCAAAATGGCTTTTGCTTTTTCTGCAAAGTCATTGCTCCGTGTTCCCGACACCCCCTGTGAAGGACTATTGTCTCCCATACAGGAGTGTCCTAGGAAGATGTCCTGAGGTGTTTCTCATTGGTCCTTGTTAACCCCTTCCTATTGGCTGTTAACTTTTTACCTGATTGTTTTTTTCTGTGCCCCTGAACTTGTAATTGGTTCCCCTTTGACCCTCCTAAAAGCCTTATAAACCCCTACCCCACAATAAACTTCCTCTTTCGTCCGTCCCTCCCTGGTGGTTTGTGTGAGCTCCTTACGGGGTCGCCGGCCACGTGGTGGGGGGCAGGGGGGAAGAGCATTCACCTCCAGGTGATGGGCTGGATCCCAAAGCCTGAAGGTCTCCCCCTCCCACTAATCCGTCGTAAAATGGATGTTCACCAAGGCCAAGATCTAGTAGATACTGAATTCACCCACAGTATTACTGGCCTAGAGTTCACTGTGGTGTACTGGAAATCTTAGGCCAAAATCCACTGTACTCACTATCCACTCAAGAATCAAATAATCATAACTTTAATTAGATTAGCATTAAATGGACTTTAACTAATATTATTTTTCAAGTGGTTTGGGGTGGGTTTTGGCATTCCATATATTTTCCATCCTTTAATTCTAAAATATTATACAGCAAAATAGGATCTCTTTTCCCCTGATCATAGCTAATTGTGCTCCAGTATCAAATACGGAAACACTTAAAAACTTCAATACAATTTCAATATTTTTCACAAGAATCTCATATATTTTTAATTAATAAATGCATTTGGAATAAATTAATGAAAATTAATTAAAAATTATGGCATTAAATTGAGTCTACTCAAGGTGTCAAATTCCATAACTTTGACTATTTATTATGCTAATAGTACTAAAGATTTTGTAACATTTGGCTATGAATTCCTTACATTCATATCTACATTTCATTACAATATTTCACTTCATAGTCACAGAAACTGTGGGTAATACTTAAAAATGAGGATGATTCCTTTTAAGAGTCCAGAAAAACTTCTAAAACCATTATTTTAAAATATGTCAACAGATGTATTCACTATCTACTGCTGTAATAACAAGCTAATAAAAAGCAAAAGAAACAACTTTCGTTCAGGTCCTAGATTCCTACCTGATACCAAGAATTGTTTTACTGGAAGAGGAGAGTGAGAATTATTTATGTCTCACAAAAACACAAAACTCTGCCACAGTCTTTTCCAGGTGAGGCTGTGGGAAAGGAAAAACCATGAACATTATATGAGTATAAAAAAAAAGTTTAAAAAGATAACAAACAGGCAAACAACCAGATTCAGGTGAGACTTTTAATAACACATTTTAGCTTGTTATTTTAAACAGGCAATTTGCACGTCCCTTAGAAGGTCTGAAGAGGTTGTTTTTTGTTAAATAGACCAACACTTCCATAATGAAAATCTTTACATTAAATGAGATTTTGATCCTCATATTAACTCCTTGGTGTGAAGAAATAGCCTCTGTTTCCTTTGTTCCCAAATTTTCATTTTTGTCAGAATAACAAATGTAGACTTGACTCCTTTGTTTATTAAGGTCTTTTTTTAATTAATGAACTGGGTCTCAAAAAGCATGTTTACCCCCATCTTTTTTAACAAACGCGTAGCTTTTGGATATGATATCTCTACAATTAGCTTGTTATTAATTTCTCTGCTATTTGACATTAACACTTACATGCAATCTATCATTGACAAAACTGTAGATGATAACTCTGGGAAAACAGGACATCTTTAGTCTTTTTGCCATGAGGGTGAAAGAAAAGAGGGAAGATGCAATTAATTATATAGGACTATATACTCTTCACAGCAGCTATAACAGGTTAGCTGTTCTGCTGCCAGATTAATGAACATCCAGAGTGAAAGTAGATGGTGTTGAAGACAGAAACACAATAGTGTAACTTTAGGCTATTCTGTAGATACTATGTACTCAAGTCCATTTTTGTTCCTTAAAGTATCTGATACCTCATATGTGGAAAAATATGTTCTTTTGAGAAGTCTCACTGCTCTCTTTTTTTGTGGAATTTATTCAGTAAATCAGTGCATGCATTTCTCTTAGGCAGAGATTTTCTTCTGAACCAGAATACTACCTGTACTTGTCAAGCAGAAGCCAGTGAAACAGTCAGTCACCAAAAAGTATACCTTCTGGGTTCTAGAGATGAACTATTTAGTTATGTAATAACAGTTCAAATTGTTATCTTTTTCTGAAAAACTCAATAAATTAATGATCAGTAGGAAGGGTTGGACTTGATGAGTGTTCTAATATTACTAGGAAGTAGAGGAAGGAAGAAAATGTTGCTCTAATAGCAACGATAATCGCTATTAATTGTTTTTTAGAACATAGAAAACCTGGATCATGGAAAAATAGGCATTTATTTATGAAGTTATTTCCTCAGTACTGGTAAAAATGTCTCAATTAATAAAACATTTACAGATTACGAATCTCCTGTGTTTTTATCTCTGTAGTGTGAACACACACGTTAGAGCAAATAACTGTGAAACACAGACCTACACCTTATTTTTGCATGCTTCTCAGCATGTTATGTAGGCTTAAAATGCTGCCTGTCCCCACTGACTTGCACTGAATCCTTCTAGTGCTTTACATGAGTTGTCAGTGTTGGTAAGATGTTAAATGCTGTGTATTTTCCCATTCCCAAAGGACAGAAAAAATGAAAGAAAAAGACAGAAATCAATGAAAATGTTTAGAAGCAGGGGTTGATAAGCCTTCTTTCTTTAATATTTCCTAAGTAAACACATTTCCTAGCAAAAAAAAATTATACTCTAAAATAGGGTCAAAGACTTAAAAATGTTTATGAATCTCAATGAACCTTTTTGAAAAATGTAGTAGACCTCCAGTTGGTAATGAAAACTGATATTGAGTGAGATTTTCTTGACTTAAGATTTCAAAACTCTTTGTGAGGTGCAGTGAGAGTTACACTCATTTGATTCTTCCCCCCTCTTTTTTTTTTTTTGACTTCGGTTTTGTCAAGTCCAGGGAAAAAAAGTATAATATGAAAAATCTTCCTTTTCTCAAATAGGAAAAAATTAAAGTTGAAGGGGTAATGTGGCAGCCCATATATATATCAAACAGAACACCATAATTACTTGATTATCTTTTTTAGGATTTTGGGGTTACATCAGTCTGTGCTCACTAGCAAATTGGTATTTTGTACAAAGACACGCAACATTTCCATTGTAGCGTAGCTGAAATTTTCTGAAATGATGTATTTAAATTCAGAATAAAACATACGTAATGAGAATATAAAAACATAAGAATGAGACCGACCAAAGGTTCATCTAGCCCTATATTCTGTCTCTAAAACCAGTGTATTAAATTACACTGGATAGATACTTTCCCCATTATCACCATCCCTGACCCTTCAAGTAGTCTAATCATATATTTACTCAAATAATATAATCATACATTTAATTCACAAAAACTTTTAGAATTACAATTAGGTTGGAGCACAATTTTAAAAATCATATTCTTCCTATAGTAAAATCAATAGACTTTATTTTATAATAATGACAGTATACAATATGGATAAAATTTTTTCAGCTGTTTTAGATAACATTCATATTATAGAATATTTTAGATAAATAAATATATTTACTCATGATCCTTATAGATCCCAAACTTTTAATGTAAAGTAGAGTAATAGTCCCAGAGTCTTAATTCTGGAAAATTACTGGTAACTTTGCAGATTCATTGCAGAACATATCATAGATGTGCCAAAATGCGCAAAGTAACCTCCAATTGACTGGTATGATCAGTGTAAGCATTTTACTGATAAAGTTCATAAACCTTAGCCTGTAGCCTAGAAAAGTACCAAGAAAGCCAGTAGCAGAGATGGTTTTTTACTAAGAAATTGTTCAATATATTTTCTTAATTACTCTCAGTACCAGTATATTCACAAGTTAGTTGTAGAGGGGGGGAAAGATGTGGTGACTAAACAAAAGTATTTGGTAAATAAGTAGTGATTGCGGTTTATGCCATTTTGGGAGGCTTCTCATCCGCCACTAATGCAAAAGCCTGTTTATTCACTGCAACCCTGTGAGTCAGGAAGTCAGGAAGGTGTGCTGATAGCAAATATAGTAATATTCACAGCGACACAAATACATGAATCTGCTCTCTCTCTATTTTCCCCTCCACTTTGCATGCCCTAAAATATTGTTATAAAGTGCAGCATTCGTAGCAGTGCTGGGACATAATCCAGCTTCATTTCACTATAATTCAAAGGAGTTTTAGACATTTATGTAAATTATATAGACAATGAACACTTGATGTTGGCAGGTATGTAGAGATCAGACACATGAAATTTTACTCTTCTGAGTACCAGTCAGTTAAGAGATGCCTTAGGTATGAAAAAAAATCTTTCTGACGTTAGGTAGATATGTGATCCAGTTAATTCTCCTCTTTGAAGGCCAGTTTGAGAGATTCTACACTAAAAATTAATCCAGTGTAACAATATCCAAGTAACTGCTTTAAGTCCACAGCTGCATGATTTCTTAGAGTTGTTCTTTATGTATATAAAACATAGTATATGAGTCTAGTTTTTAAGTTCATTGAATCTTCTTCTATTTTAATAGTATCTCCCAAGCTTATGTCAAGAAGTAAATAAATTCTTACTGTTAATCTTAAGTCAGTAAGAAAATATTAAGCAAGACATGTCCCAAAATAGGTACCTGAAAACATCTAGTAGATATTTTGTCCTAGTCTGGCATTGTTCCAACAGAAATCACAATAATTTCCAGTTCCTCAATTTCAATAATGTATTACATTGCTGTGCCAATACCCATATTCACAGACTTCACTCACAATTTTCCATGAAGAGCCACATTACGTTTGACTAATATTATTAATTCTTGTTAAGAAAATGAACTGTTTGAAAATCAATATGAACTTTGTTTTTGAAACCCCCATAGAATTTTATGGGTTTGGGTTTTTGCTTTTTTTTCCACTTATTTTATCTATATCACTTTCTTTCAAACGTAGTTTCTAAGCATCTTGGAATATTTCATCTCCACTAATAGGCCTTTGTTTATGTGACTTCTTCCCATACGCACCCACCCTTCTCTGCTCATAGGTTTTTCAAGACCCATGTAAGTTCCCAAATGTCTCATTTTTTTAATATTCTGGAATTATATCCTCTTGTCATAGTGTCATCTTTACCTTGACAGACTTAATACAATTAATTGTTACAGATGTGATATGCCACGTGGCACATCTTTCAGAAGAGATATTATCTGATTACTTCTTCCACAACAGAATTATGGTCTCTGTTTTGATGTTGCTGTGATAGAGTAACTCCAATATAACTTCTATTACTATTTTCCCATTCACTTTGTCAGTCTCGCTCATTTTAAAGCATTTTTCAGGCCTTAAACATCTTAAATTTTACCTGATTTATAGGTTTTTCCCTGATTTATAAGTTCAAGTCTTAAATGATATCATCCTCCATATGAGGATGATATCATCCTCATCTAGCTATTGATGTAGCTAGACTTTCATTCTTCAACTTCTTTTATGTAGTTTTAGATATATTTTAATTCTAGTTGTCTTTTACTTCAGCTCCTCAATTTCTTTAGTCCAGTTAGTTTTATATTGAGAGTACACAAAAGGGAAAGTAAGAATATACAATATTTCAATTAGTATATGTTTGTCCTTAGAAAACAATCTGTTTATTTGGAAGAATAGTTATATACCAAGCTAGCAATAGTACAAAATAGCTTCAACATGATGAAGTATACTACCCATTGATGGTGCAGTGCATACAGTATGTCAGTACTTCTGCACTTAGTCAATGATTGAGAATGTTTTTTGGGGGAAATTTGAGATTTAAATTTTTAATTTATGTCCAAATTCCGCTTCAGGTGCTTCCATGCATTACTGGAATTAGATTTCTCATACTGGTTGTTCTTACATACTTATTTCTGATTGATCATGAAAAAATACTAATTTTTATTTGGTTAAATTTTATAAGAACATGGAATATGTATAGCATTGATGACAAATAAAAAAACATCATGAAACATAAGTTGGGGTTATCTTGTTTCTTCTTTCCTTAAAAGAAAAGTATGTTGCTAATATGAAAACAACAGTAACACATTGTCTGGTTTAAACCCAGCTGGAAATTAAGTACCTTGCAGCCATTTGCTCAGACTCCTTCTCTCACCCCCACCCCAGTGGAATGCGGGGAGAATCAAAAGTAAGACTTTGTAGTTTGAGATAAGAACAGTTTAATAATTAAAAACAGAGTAAAATACAATAATAATAATAATAATGGAAAAAACAAGTGGTACACAACACAGTTGCTCATCACTTACTGGGGGATGCCAGATCCTGTTTCCAAACCCAGAATGGCCCCCATTCTAGGTAACTCCTCCAGTTTATATACTGGGCATGGCATTCTATGATTACGGAATATCTCCTTGGGCTGGTTAGGGTCACTTGTCCTGGCTATGGTCTCTTCCAGTTTTCTTTTGTGTGCCTCCTGAAACACACAAAAAAAGAAGTCTTTGACTTAGTATAAACACAGCTTAGCAAAAACTAAAACATCACTGTGTTATCAACATTATTCTCATTCTGCATACAAAACATAGCACTGTACCAGCTACTGAGAAGAAATTAATTCTATCTCAGCTGAAAGCAGGACACACATAAGCACAAGAAAACTCATGAACTTCACTTTGTCTACTGATAAAACACACTTTTCACAGGTTACCACGGTAAACATCCAGAGGTGTGTTTACATAGATTTGACCTGTTGCATGATGTTTTATCAGATCTGTGCCTGCTCTCAAGCAGTACTTGATACAAAACCTGTCAGCTATGAAAGGATATATGTTTTGTCATGTGAGTGATAGCTTTGAAGAATTACACATTGAAAACACCACCTGCTCATGAAGACATAATTCAGACTTCTTGCAAATGTCTAAATCCACTGATGTAGCTGTAAGATGTATCCTGTTGTGACTGTCACATCACTCACTTTTTAAATGTCAAACCTGTCATGTTTCTTGATTGAAGTACTCTTAATGTAAAACATCTGATTTTTTTTGTTGTTGTTCAATCAAGACAAGGCCATGCCAGTAAATAGCTAATATTTCAAAGTATCACCTAGAGAAAATAGTAATGGGTGCATCTTGTACCATGTTCTCCATGTATTGTCTCTACTTGTTTATAGTTGTATCTCTCAGATGAGTCACATGTCTACTATGCATTTCAAGTATGCCTACATGCTGTAGAAAGGACATAACACTGATTTTTTAACTAGCTACAAAAAAAATTGAGGACATTTTATTCAAGATACAGAAAAACATACTGCATGTGAATTTGTTCTGGAGTTCTACCAACTTTTTTCCATTTCAACACATTCAAATACAAATATATAAAAACTTGAAAGTAAAAGTATAGAGATCCACCTTCAGATTTTGACTTTCTAAGGAAGATATTATGGTTTTCTTGTTATGTCACTGGCAGGCAAAAAACCCCAAAAAACAGACAGCAGGAAACACAAAAGAAGGTAAAATTAACTGAAGTACTGTAGAGACGACATAAGCCATGGTAGGTAAAGATAAGTACTGTAGAAGAGAGTGGGATTTTCTGGGGGAAATATGAGGTGTAAAACCATCAAGGAACTCTATGGATTCAAGGCAGCTATGAAAGGCCAAGTAGGTGATTAGAGGGATAGCACACCTCTCCTATGAGGAAAGGCTGAGAGAGCTAGGCCTGTTCAGGCTGGAGAAGGCTCCAGTGTGACTTTGTTGTGATCTTTCACTACCTGAAAGGGCCTACAAAAGAGCTGGAAGGGGACTTACAAGCGTATGCGGTGATAGAATAAGGTATGATGTCTTTAAACTGAAAGATGGTGGGTTTAAACTGTTTCTTAGGAAGAAAGTCCTTACTCTGAGGGTGGTGAGGCACTGGAAGAGGTTGCCCAGAGAAGCTATGGATGCTCCATCCCTTGAAGTGTTCAAGGCCAGGTTGGATGGGGCCCTACCTAAGCAATCTGGTCTAGGGGAAGGTATCCCTGCCCATGGCAGAGGGGTTGGAACTAGGTAATGTTTAAAATCCTTTTTGACACAAACCATTCTATGATTCTAAGATTCTATGATTTTATGATAACGCCTCTGAGACAGATATTAAATGAGAGGTAAATGGGGGTTACAGCGTTGGGGTCTGATGTTCACATTAATGTTTATTAACTCCTTTACTCATCAGATAATTTATTGTACATTTTTCTTATGCTAAAATTCTTCAAAAAATAGCAAAAATATAATTTTAGCCAGTATCTTTTTTTTTACCCTTTCTATGTGCTAAGGAATGCTATAAGCTGACACAGCCTCCAGTAACTGCAAGACTGGGATTTCATCATGGCCAGGGACCCATAATCTCTGCCCAGGATGGAAGGCATGACTGCCACTTTCCTGTTTGCAGGTTCAGTCAGTAGCAAGGCTGAAGAGGTATCCCAAGGACACATACACAGACACGTGTGTACACACAGGTCCGATTACACAGACAAAGCACTACTTTCCACAGCATGCTGATGCAGTGCTCACACAAACACAGGTGCAGACAGACAACAGTCTCTTATTTGGTTGATTAGGATTGAAGGTCACTAGTGCAAGTGCACTAGTGCACATCTGCACTCTTCAAAGTCACGAGCACACGCACATTCATGGATCTCTTGAGCACTGATACTGCCCCTCTGTCCACCTGGTACCTCTTCCTGGATCCTAGGACCCCTTACCTGCCCCACAGGTCCCTGATTCACATGCAGATGCTTACCTTCTGGTGCTCACCAACAGCTGCCCATGGGTTCTCCTAAATACTGTTACAGTCCTATCGCCTGACTGATGCTCCTCTCTAGTACTGGGCTTAGAGGAGATACAGACACTTGTTTCCAATCCCAGCAGCCAGCACCAGGCACTTGGCACTCAGCCCCTCACTCACCTGGTAGCTCTGTCACTGATTTTCAGAACACACACCAATTTAACCCAGCAGTTGAGGTCAAGTCCCCCACCTGCTTCAACTGGTGTCCCTGAGACTCCATTGGCTCCAGCTGCTGGCACCACCATCCCAGGAATCCTGTACAGCCATCTCACTGTGGTGTCTAGCCCCAGTCCACTCACATTCCTAGCAACCAGCTCCTCATAGCATCAGAAAGTCATAGAATGGGTAAGGTTGGAAGGGACCACAGTGGGTCATCTGGTTCAACCTCCCTGCTCAAGTAGGGTCATCCCAGAGTACATGGCACAGGATTGTGTCCAGACAGCTTTTGAATATCTCCAGTGAAGGAGACTTTAAAACCTCTCTGGACAAACTGTTCTAGTGCTCAGTCACCTGCACAGTAAGGAGGTTCTTCAGCATCTTCAGTTGAAACTTCCTGTGTTCCAGTTTCTGTCCATTGCCTCTCATCCTATTGCTTGACACCATGAGAGGAGCCTGGCTCCATTCTTTTGACAACCTCCCTTCAGATGCTTATATACATTCATAAAATCACCTAACCCCTACAGCACTTACATTTGCACAGGATAACAAATGAGGTGGCAAAGGGAAACCTACCACAGGATTTAAGAAGACAACTACAGGGCTGGGAGATAAACCTGCTGATGGGCCACAGCCTGCATACAGCCAGACCATCCTGTACCCAGCCTTGTTTTCCCCTTACCACTTTGCTCCTTCCCTTTGCCCCACACGCTCCCTCCTAAGTCTTGTGTGGTCCCACTGACACACCCCTTGAATATCCCAAATCCCCATGCTCTTGTTTCCTTCTTACGAGTGACAAAGCACAGGCTGTTTGTCTCCAAAGCTATGTCCATAGTTTCTTAACGGGTGTTTGACTTGTGACTGGAGACTTTTTGTCCTTGGCAATGACTCTGCTGTCCCATGTCTGTTGGCTTTGTGTCTCTCTGTCTTCTTATTCATCACTTCCACTTTTATTTATTTTCTCCTTTGCGCTGAAGAGGTCCTTGGTAGGATCACCTCCATGAAGCAAATGCTCTCACATTCCACATGTACTTACAGTCTGCCCTGCTAAATTTCTTTTCTTTCATGACTAATGAAAACTACAGATATTCTTTCAAGTACTAGTCAGGGGAAAATAATTTAACAAAATATTGTATAATAATACAATAATATTATTATACAATAATATTGTATAATAATACAATAAGAACAATAACAGCAAAATATATAGGAAATTGAAGAAAAATATAATTCAGGACTTCTGGAGGAGACAGTATTGAAACCCTCTCTCTTACAAAGTTGCTGACAGCTATGCCATTGATTTTATTAGTGCTATGACTTCAAAGAGTGTCTCTCACACAGGATGTTAATTAGATGCTTCTGGGCTTGAAGAAAACAAGAAAAAAGTAATATAAACAGGTATGCCTTGATAGGATGACAGGTTGTTTCAGCCTACTTCATATCTATGGGCAGAAGGACATAACCATCCTCTGCTACCAATTAACCGCAGAGATGCTCGGAACAAATCACGCACAGGCCAATATGGCCAGCAATATGGCCAATTTATTATTTAAATGAGTTAACTTCTATACAGTTTGGTTTGTTCCGGGTACATGCTTACAACAAGGTGATTGAATAGCTTAGTCTGTGCACGTGTCTCATGCTTTCAGTTTATTGGATCTGAAGCTCTGTCCATGCGGCCTGAGATCACTCTTGGCATGAAAAGTTCCTTCTATTGATCCACCTTTAGGGGTTTTCCCGAGATCTGCAGGTGTCTCATTATCTCCAGTTTCTCAAGGCTTTCTTACTATAAACACACAGCTAACAAGTATAAACATTGCATATTTTCACACAGCTTGAAACTTTGAAAGTAATGTCAAGCAAGGCCTACAAAATGTAGGAAAAATTGTTCAGAGAAATCTCTCTGCTCCAGCCACACATATCTTCATATTCTTTCTCTCCTCACCCTTTGTTACATTCAAAGTATTCATGTATGTTCAAAATATATTGCACTTTGTAATGATAAACTCAGTTTTATTTCTGGACCATTTAAACCTTTCCTTTCCTTCTTTCTTTTTTTTCACCATTTTTAGCTACATGAAGAGACCTAGACAGCAAAGTAGAGACCGACCTTCTGTAGTTTCTCTCACTCAGGAGCTACAGAGTATCTGCAAAATGAGGCTACTCTCTCTCAGTGCTCTCTCATGTTGAAGGAACCAGTCTTCACTGGGAGGGTAGATATCAGGATGTCCTACACTTTCACTGAGCAAAATGAGGTCAGTTGAATCCCTTTCACTCAAGATAAAGATACTGTTGTTAGGCCATAGGAAATATATGAGAAAACAGTGTTGATATCAAAGGGGATTCTTGTTAGTTAGGTGAGTAGAGTAACATGCCCAAAGGATTCCCTGCTGCATTTAGATTGTTACAAATAATAAGAGACAGTGCTGCTGTCTTTGGATTTTGGCCCACAAAGAATTCTTTTATCTTTGTTACCATTTCTGAGGCTGTAATTTATGCTTTTGTCATTGTTGGACTGGAGCTTACTTTCCCACTGCATTACATCTTTTGTGTTCAGTGAAAATGCAGTGCACAATATGAAGAAGTTAGAAGAGAAAGGAGACTCAGATCTTGATTCCTGTGGTGCAATTGACTTGCTCAGAAATAGATAAAAGAAGTGGGTCTTTTTTTCTAAATGCATAATTAATCATCAGTTTCTATTGCCAGAAGGCACCAGTGAGGCAAGGAAGTTAGAAGGATTTAAAAATAATTAAACTTTTTTGAGAGTAAAGTAATATTTTATAAAGTTTTTAAAGACATTTGAAGCTGTTCTTTAAAGCATAAGACAGTCATTAGACTGGCCAAAGAGGAAACTCCTTATGAGGCTAAACGATTTGTTACCTACCTGTAAAAGAGCTTTCTAAATTTGATAGGGTTCATATCATAGTGGTTACAATTGAAACAGTACTCTGCTTTTAAAGTATGGCTTTAAACAGACATCTAGTCAAATAACATGGCATTTCCTAGGTTCCTAGCCTTCCAGAAAATGCACGTAAAGACCAAATCAACGGAGACTGAATGTAAGCAGTATTTAAAATTAAAAGGATTTTATAATAAAATGTATCATTCTCCTATGTTATAAAATACTTATGTTTCAGATACCAGTGGCTTTACTAGTTTCAGTGATTCCAATTCAGTTCTAGATCAAGCTTTTTGAATTATATCTGTGAAGAGAAATTAAATTATATAAGGGCATAGTTCTATCTGTTTTTATGAAAAGGCAAACCACAGTAGATACCACTATTCAACACACTTCAGAAGTCCTCAATTTTTCATTATTGAAGACGTCTTGAGATGGAGTGAAGGATAGATTTTCCTCTGATACAAGTTTTACTGTGGAGTCTGCAATTTGTTCTTGGCTAGCTAACTCTGTGAAGGTAGAAGGAAGGTATATTTGTATGTGTGCAGTCCAGAATGATTAAGTGTTCTGTGGCTTATGTCTTAATATTTTATTTAGTTTTGATTGTCCACAGTACTGTGATCACTTCTCCTTTGCCTTCAGTAGACAGAATATATCCTGAGTGAGAGGTGAATAAGTGGGAATGAAATTTATGAAAGTATGAGGTCAACAAAAACATAAAAATATTTTTCTTTTACTGTGAACTGCACAATACAATTAGTTCAGTGATATCAAAGAGTGAAATGCTAAATAAAATTTTCTTTATCTTTCATAGAAAGCAATATAAGCACATGGAAAAAGACAGAACTGTCTGAAAAATGTTAAACAGAGTTCTGATGTTATGATTTAAAATATCATATGAAATCACATTGTATATTTATATTCAAATGCTATTGTATATTGAATATTATGTATTATACAATGTATGTTAGGAATTAAATATCACAACTATGCTACATATTTTTATAGTATGTTGTATCCTCTACATATATTTCTGTCATTCATCTGGTGTCATAAAATACACTGACTTTGTGTGATTTGTTACACAGTGGAAAGGAGGTTGAGAGATCTTGAATTCAGTGTTGCTAAAGAAGAGTGTATCTCAAGAGGGTGTTGTCTTATCCTTCTGTGCTCCAGTTGCAGAAAGTAGCTCCTTACTGAAACTTTTACATACATTAAGGTCACAAGAAAGTGAGCACCTGGCTTAAAAAAACCCGAAGTGTTTGAAAGATCTTCTTTTAGAAAGGCAACATTACAGTGACACACGAGGTGACAAGATATTTTTAAAAATAAAATAAACCTGTGGCCCACTTTCACTGGATGCTTTTTTTCTTTTTTTCTCAGATTCTTCTGCTGCAAACATCTGTTCCCCTTAACTGGAGTAACCAGCCTTTGGAGCCTTAGCATGGAGAGGATATTGTTTACAGTTTTAATATGGTGTCATTTTTTTCTGCTCAGAGTAAATCTAATTAATGCCTAATTAAGAATCCGTCCAAGGTCACTGATGTCAATAAAGCTGAACAAATGTTAGGAAGGATGACAGTTCGGGGAATCAATCTGTCCAAGTACTAAGGCTGGTGTAAGGCTCTGAACTCACTGTGTGTATCTTGAGGAAGGTGCCAACTTCATTTTAAATCCACAGCATCAGCCATTGCCTGTTGACTGATTGCTTGCCTTTTGGATTAAAACTGTAGCACTAAAACTGCAGGAATTAGTGAAGACTTCAATATCTGGTATGCAAAATTAGCTATATCCTTTCAATGTAAACTATTTTATGATAAAGCATACCTTAGCAATAAAGATATCTGCAAAAGTTTCACATGGTAGGGATGATCCTTGACTCACTGGATTATAAAGTGATAAAATGGGATTTGTTTCTTTGTCACTTGCATTAATTCAGACTGAAAATTTGCTGCCTCTGCCAGGAGCTGTGGGAAGGAAGCAAAGCTTACTATTTGAAATGTAAATTGATCCCTTTTGACAGGCAAGGAAAGATTGAGCTGGAGGTATAGGAAATGTATGTAGCATTTTATTACTGATTATAAGTATTTGCTTGCACTTGCTCTTGAAGGTGTACAAATTATACAAAGTTTAGCTGCTTATTCCCATGCATAACATTATTCTGAAAAACTTTCCTGTAAAAAGGATGACTATTTGGGAAAGTGTTTATTACACTTCTGGAGTCACACAAGGAAAACTTGTATATTATACTTCTTTGGGTTACTAAACAAATTTCCTACTGGGAAAGAGCAGGTACAGGTATCCTAAATCAGGGTTTCTGTACTCTGTTCTCTACTCTGAAGCAGTAGGTTTCAGCAGGCACATCGAGGCAAATCAGTAAGTAAGCTAGAGTGGTAACTGCTCAGCAGCTGGACCTTTCTTAGATTTCTTTCCACCAAAAGAAATTTTCAAAGGGAATTCTTTGCCTTGGTAAAAGGTAGTTGCATTAGGTTTGACTGATTGAGCTTATTTTGAAACAACACCAGTAAAAATGGAAGTCACCTTTCACGCAAAACTTGTGGAATTCACTGTCAGCTCACAGAGGAAAATTTGGTCCTTGTGTAAATAAATCAGATAAACCTTGAGTTTTTTTGAATTCTAATCCTAGAATCTCAAATTACTTTTTCATATAGAGGGGATTTGAACATTATACTGAATTTTATCACTGTTGAGGAAAACAATGAGTTCCACTTGGGAATGGAAGAGGCACTGACTGAGAGATTATGGGTCAGGATTAAAGGGAGGGCAGAATCAGGAGACATTATACTGGCTACAGGCCACTGAGGCCACAGGCCTCATCACCAGGGAAACTGAGCAGATGAGGCCCTGTATAGAAAAACAGGAGTAGCCTCATATTCCTTAGCTCTGTTCCTCATGGGGGACTTTAATCACCCTGATATCTGTCAAATGGACAGCAGAGCAAGGCAAAAGCAATCCAGGTGTTTCCTGGAATGAGTTGATGATAGCTTGCTTCTCCAAGAGATTAGAAGAGACAACGAGGAGATGTGCTTTATTGACCTCATTCTCACCATTGAGATTGTGCCAATGGGGAATATGAAGCTTAAGGGCAGCCTTGGCTGCAGTGACCATGAAATGGTGATTTCAAGATCCTTAGGGAAGGGAAAAGGGCACACAGCAAGCTCACTAACCTGGACTTCAGGAGAGCAGATTTTGGCCTCTTTAGGGATCTGCTTGAATCATAGAATAAAAGAATCATAGAATCATAGAATCATAGAATCAACTGGGTTGGAAAGGCCCTCTGAGATCATCAAGTCCAATCCTTCATCCAACATCGCCGTGGTTACTAGACCATGGCACTAAGTGCCACATCTAGTCTCAACTTAAAAACTTCCAGGGATGGTGAATCTGCCACCTCCCTGGGCAGCTCATTTCAATGTCTGATTACTCCCTCTGTAAAAAATTTCTTCCTAATAGCCAACCAAAACCTCCCCAGCAGAGCTTAAGACCATGCCCTCTTGTCCTACTGCTGGTTACCTGGGAGAAGAGACCAACCCCCAGGTAGTTACGACCTCCTTTCAGGTAGTTGTAGAGAGTGATGAGGTCTCCTCTGAGACTCTTCTCCAGGCTGAACAGCCCCAGCTCCCTCAACCTCTCCTCATAGGACTTGTGCTCAAGTCCCCTTACCAGCCTTGTTGCTCTTCTCTGGACCTGTTCCAGCACCTCAATATCCTTCCTGAACTGAGGGGCCCAGAACTGGACACAGCACTCCAGGTGTGGCCTCACCAGCGCTGAGTACAGGGGAAGAATCACTTCCCTGGTCCTGTTGGTCACACTGTTCCTAATCGAGACCAGGATGCCTTTGACCTTCTTGGCCACCTGGGTACACTGCTGGCTCGTGTTCAGCTTCTGTCAATCCAAACTCCCAGGTCCCTTTCTGCCTGGCTGCTCTCCAGCCACTCTGTCCCCAGCCTGTAGTGCTGCAGGGGATTGTTGTGGCCAAAGTGCAGGACCCGGTATTTGGCCTTGTTGAACCTCATCCCGTTGGAATCAGACCATCTCTCCAGCTTGTCCAGGTCTCTTTGAAGAGCCCTCCTGTCCTCCACCAAATCAATACTCCCCCAACTTGGTGTCATCTGCAAATCTGCTAATGGTACACTCAATCCCCTCATCCAGATCATCAATAAAGATATTACATAGAATTGAGTCCAACACTTGGAAGAGTTACATGGGATAAAGCTGTGCAGGGAAGCTGTTTCATATGCAAGGATCAAGAGTGATACATCACAACAAAGAGGAAGTCAGGATGCCTTCATGGATGAACAGGGAGCTCCTGGATAAATCAAACACAAAAAAGGAAGTCTATAGAGGTTTGAAGCAAGGACAGGTGGCCTGAGAGGAATCCAGAGAA